ATATATATAAAAAAAAATTTCAATTTGGGGGGGGGGGGGGGGGGGGGGGCACTTGCTCCCAGATCCGCCCCTGGATGTTGACTTTAACCTTATAATTTTGATTATATGAAACAAGTTAATTTTGTTTACCAACAATTTTATTTAAGTGATCATAGTTTTTAAAGCATTTCAATAATAAATTGATCGATCATCGTCAAAAGATCATAATCAAAGACTATCATTATAAATTAGACTTATAAAGAATATCAAGATTGAAGTCAAGTATTCAAGACAAATCCTTTAAGACAATTTCTTAAAAGTCAAACGTCTAAGAAAACTGAAGACAAGAGCCTAACAGTCAAACTTAAAAATAAATAAATCAAATACTAGATTTTTGATATCAAATGTGAATGTAGTAATGAATTATTAAATCTCAAAAACCATTTTATGCATTAAAAACTATTTTGATTTATCACTTGCATAAATTTTTTTGAATAATATAGGATTGATTTTCAAAATGATAACTTACATCATATTTTTAATATATCACTTACCTTGAAAAACTAGTTAAAAAACTTTTCAAAAGTCCACATTTTTCAAAACATTCGAATCGGATCAAATGGGGACCAAAATGAGAAAATGGGCTAGACGATGGTCAACTGCCCAAAATTTGATCATTCTGACTTCTAAATTTTTTGTTCAACTGCTATGACTTGGGCTATCAATCGGACCCTCATCCGAACTCCTAGAAAAATTTGCTAATTTTTCTCTATAAATAAGTTAACTTTCGTAATCAATGCAACGTTCTTCAAAGTGCATTAAATGGAGAAATATTTGAGCAAAATCTTTGAGCTTGTAATGCATTCAGTTCTCTTATTTCTCCATATTGAAAAACTTTGATTAATTGAATCAAAATCTTAAATAATCATATCATTCAAAGTTTCTCATCTTTCTTTTCATACTTACTTTATTGTTATCTCTTATCATTCATAAAAGAGATAAATATTTTTTTGAAATAATGGACACCAAACATGGGTTAAATGATGTAAATGTGATTTGGGGTACTTAAAAAAATACATTTAAAATTAAGAATGTTTTGAAAAATCATATGAAAAGTTTTTAGGAAGTAAAAAATACTGTGTAAAATGAAAAAGTGACACAATGTCACTTTTTTTTATAAAAATTGTCACTTTTTTATTTTTTAAAAAAAAAGTGACACAAACTAAAAAAAAGTGATAAAACACACANAATCACTTTTTTTTATAAAAGTGAGATTGTGTCACAATTACTATCTAGAGATATCAAAGTCGCTCGTCAATTTTATAAAAGTGACATTGTGTCACTTTTTAAAATTTTGTCACTTGTTTTAGGTTTTTGTTACCTATTAAGTTTTTGTCACTTTTTAAGAAGACAAAAAAAGTGAAATAATATGTTATATTTTCTTAACATAATCAGCATGTGAATTGACCTAGACGTGCTGGTTATCATGATTACTGGTGCTGCACAAATGGATGGTGTTATTTTGGTATTTGTCACTTTTTTTGAGTTTGTGTCACTTTTTTAAGTTTGTATAACTTTTTGAGAGTGTGAATCATTTTTTTTTTAGTTTTGTCACTTTTTTTGAGTTTGTCACTTTTTTTAAAAAAATAAAAAGTGACAATTTTTTTTTTTTTAAAGTGACAAATCACTAGTCAAAACCTTAAATTATATCATTTTATACAATTTCAACCACTCCAATGTCCAAGGCTCCCAAACCATTTCTACCCCCTTTCTTCAATACCCACAAAAAACTAACTGAATATATTTGAAATTTCTACAATTATAAATGTTCAACCCGTAGAAAAAGTTCACAATTTGATAATTCATAGGGAAATTGCAATATTCTTGAGATTCCCATCAGGGTCTACAATTAACCTTCTTTTTATCCCAAATTCCATATCAGAATCATTGACTTGATAATGAGCACTTGAAGAAAGCACGCCCATATCATCTAAAATTGAAAATCTGCTACCATTATAGTTGGTTCTTCCACTTGTATAAATGTCATAATCAGGATTTGGCTAGTGGAGGCTAGATATTTGAGGACTATTAGATATCAGCGATAAAACATTGTCACTACCAAAATATAAATTAAAGTAACCTGATTCCAAGCTTCCTTTTCTCAAGGATGATATCAATCTTTTGTCCTTCGTCAACAATTGAGAAGGCAAAAGAGTATCAATAGAAAAATAAAAACTTTGCCAAAGAATATCGCCTTGTCGATTCTTCAAAACGAGGTTGCCTGTATTTAGAAGCTCAGTTGCAGCAACATCAGTATTGGTTGTATTTGTCTGCCATTTAATTCTGCCATCAACGTCTGTCAAGACCATGGTTCGATCTCCCCTTATAGATACTCTTGAGCCCTGGCTGTTGACTGGCGTGTCCTGGTCGGCTGTCCAAACGACAATTTTGTCTTTGGAATTGGTGAACTGAATTGTAAACCAATAAGCGTTGCTTCTCATCCCATAAAAGCCACAGGTAACGGAGAATCACCCCTTCTCAAATGGAGCAGAGACTTTGAATTTGCAGAATGAGAAAAGGACAAAACGATTAGTAAGAAGAGGAGAAGACAGTGATTGTTGTCTTTGGTAGCTATCACCGTTGTTGCAGCGTCATCACAGGTGTTGTAGTGGCGTGCGTGTTTGTGGTCTCTGTTCTTAGTTGGGAGATTTTGGGATTTTGTATTAATTTAGAACGTAATTAATACGGATTTATGTGATGCTTAATCTAATTGGATTACTTTTTAGAGTATATGGCCTAATTTCTTCATGTGATTTTCCCCTTATCTAAGTAAATCAGGCCACAGGCCCAGGTCAAATGAAGCCCAGCCCACTATACCAAAAACTGAAATGGGCACCAAAAGAGATTCCCAAAGAAACAAAAGATTAGAAACACAAAAATACCAAAAGCACCCAGAAAACATCCAAAAATAGCAAAAGAAATAAAAGAAAAAGAAAAAAAAGAAATCAAAATGCAAAACTCAATTTTCAAAAGAAAGAAGGAAGAGTCAAGTCAAGTATGTAATGTAACCAAACAGAGAGAGAGAGAGAGAGAGGACCATAAAAATCATTTTATTCAAAACAAAATCAAAAAAGAAAGAAATTAATCTATCAACATGGAATTTGTTCAAATTGAGAGCGAGATGGAATATTATTATTATCACTACTGTTCTTTTTGTGTTGCTCTTAATTCCATTTTATTATTAATAATATTATCATTAATCTCTCTCTATTTTGGTATTAGAATTCACAATCACACCTGTCCCTATATTATTAATCTATTTCATCTATTGAAATTACTCTCGCCTTTCGATTTATTATTTTCTCCCAATATAGGAGCAGGAGATTTTGTGTTTTGAGGAGCCCTAGTTTTTTCGCCGGAGGCTAGATTTCTAGGGTCTGGGGTAGTGGTGTTTGATCTGGAATGGACCCCGATTCTGAGGAAGAGATCAACAGGAACGTCAATCAGAGCCCGCCAGATGGCCCCAAGCGGCCTAAGCGTCAGATGAAGACTCCGTTTCAATTGGAAGTTCTTGAGAAAACCTATGCAAGTATGCTTATTTTTTACTGGGTTTTGTTCTCTCATGAATTTGTCAATTTATGAGTTCATAGGATTTCTTTTTGAATTTTTGTTTTTGTTTAGGTGATAATCTGATGGTTGCATTTTCACAGGATTTGTAGTTGCTAGTTTCTGATTTCTGGATATTTTTTTCTGTTTACTTAAAGGTGTAATTTCATATCATGATTGTACAAATTGAGATTATTTTCTTAATGTAAGTAATGAAGTTTATATTGACGAGGTTTGAGATTTTTGGTGAATTATTCATGTAGATGTGAGATGTGTCTACTGTGTATATAGTGAATGCATGTTGGTTGGTTACTTGTTTTTGGTGTGAAGACAAAATTTTACGGTGTTGACAGTTATCTTGTGGTGGTTCTATGCAGTGGAGATGTATCCATCCGAGGCAACACGAGAAGAGCTATCTGAGAAATTAGGTTTAACTGACCGGCAGTTGCAGATGTGGTTTTGCCATAGGAGGTTGAAGGATAAGAAGGAAGCGGCAGGAGTGGCTGCAGCAAGTGCTCGCACCACTTCGTCAGTTGGTAGGAGGGATTTAATGGAGTCCCCTGGGAACGAAATGATGGCAGCTGAGTCTGGTAGTGAACATGGGTCTGGGTCAGGATCAGACTCTGGTTCTCGTTCAAATCAGTTTGGTAATGGAGATGGTGTACCAATGGTGCCATTAAGGTATTACGAATCACCTAGGACAATCATGGAGCAGAGGGTGATAGCTTGTGTGGAGGCACAGTTGGGAGAGCCATTGAGGGAAGATGGGCCAATTCTTGGGATGGAGTTTGATGAACTACCACCTGGTGCATTTGGTTCACCTATAGGTATTTTTATTTTTGCTTGCTACTATTTATCTCTCTTATCTTGACTGCAACTGAATTACATAGCACGAGACTCCATTTATACACATTGTATCCATTGATATGAAGCTGATATTCTTTCATGTCACCAAAGAGATTCCATCTCTCCGCCTGAGCACTACTAGACTCTTGATTTGTCCAAACAAGTTTCAGATGGTTTCTTTTTCTGCAATGAATTACAAACGGAAAAGATCCTGTAGTTCAATAAATGGGAAAAATTTTAGTAGGTCAAGGAAAATGGAGTGCCAAAACAGCTACACCCAATTGATTTGCAACTGTATTGAAGGATTTTGTATTTCTCTCTTATTCATGCACATGATGCTTTGTGAGTTTACCTTTCATGCAGTCATGTAAACTACTAACGTTTTTATGTTGCGCATAAAAAGCAGTGCCAGCAGAGCAGCGGGACAGATACATACAATCTTGTGCCAGCAAGTCGTTTAGGCAATATGATACCAAGCAAATCAAAGTTAGTTCTCTATCTTCTCTGTAAACAAATTTATGACTTTTTTTTTTGTGTGTGATAACACCAATAAATTTACCTTAGCATGTGGTTCTTTTCACCTGGTTAGATGGGTTATCTATGTTGACGCGTGTCGTCATTCAGGACGGAAAAAGAAAGACAAAAAGAAAAAAAAGGAAGGAAAAGAGTCTCTCTTAAGTAGATGTTATCCATGTTGACATGCGTTGTCATTCAGTGACGGACACTACATCATTTTTCCAGTCAACTAAACAAGTTGAAATTTCAATTTATTTAATTCTCAGGCTGCATCCAGTGGGCTTCATGAAACTACTGAGCCCAAGATTAGGTCTGACGTGTATGGGCATGTTGGCATGTCTTACCTCTATGATTCACCTATTGATGGTCCTACTGCTAAAAGTTTTTCATTGACACATGGAAATAAGCATCTTCCCGAGGAATATAGTGTGGAATGTCAGGTATCAAGTGTCGATAGACTGCGGCAATTTTCCTCATCTCCGAAGCATAATGACTGCATCCCATGCAATGAAGATAATTTGCATACAGAGAGGAAACGCAAGGTATTTTTACGTAGTCCACAATTTTTTTTTATTAGCAAAAATTTCAATTTAATTTCTCTGAAACTAATGAACTGTTAATTACTTACTGAAGAGCGACGAAGCTAAAAGTGGAAGGGAGGTTCAAGCTCATGGAAAGAAGACACGGAAAGAACTCGAGAAACACGATATGCTAAGGCGAAAGGTTTAGACTTTCCATTTTAAATTTGAGGACCTTGACTTTATTTGAATTTTTTTACATGAGATTTCTACTGCATACTGTTTTTGTTGAAATCTGACATTTCTTTTCTTTATTTTTTATTTTTTAAAGAGGGACGAGCAAATAAGGAAGGAAATGGAGAGGCAAGATCGTGAAAGACGAAAGGAAGAGCAGAGGATTATGCGGGAACAACAGAGGCAGGAGGAGAAATTTCAGCGCGAGGAAAGGCGTGAAATGGAACGGAGGGAGAAATTTATGCAAAAGGAGCTGTTGCGGGTAGGTTTGAAACTGTAATAATGTATTCTTTTTAACTCCAATATGACCATTTGTTCTTCTGTATTTGGTTAGAACAGATACAGTTATTCTTTTTGTGCATGTGTCTCTCCAGGAAGAGAGGAAGAAACAGAAAGAGGACCGTCGACGAGAGAAGGAATCAGCAAGACAGAAAGCCGCTGCGGAGAGAGCTACAGCGCGTAAAATCGCTAAAGAGTCCATGGAGCTAATAGAGGATGAGCGTCTAGAACTGATGGAATTAGCTGCTTCAAGGAAAGGATTACCTTCAATCATCTCTCTCGATTATGACACCATGCAAAATCTTGAGTCATTCCGAGGTTGGTGTTGCTTGCTGTTTCTTCTATGAGATTTTGTGCCTGTTTGTAACTGTGTACTGATTGCAAATTTAAAACAATAATCCCTTGACAAATTTATTTGCAAACCCATTCAGTCCCAGGTTTATATTCCTTTCTGAAAAACTAGGAAAATCAAGTTAGTGGCACAACATAGTAAAGTGTTGATCTTATTATCAGATGTTTTTTTGTTCGGTTTCTTTACCCTTATCTTAGTTGTAGCAGTAACAAATTGCTATCTACAGTGGAGGTATTAAGTTAAACTGATAACATAGAAATTTTAATTTGTTCTTCCTTGCATTACTCCACAGGTATATTTATTTTTTTCCTAATCCATTTGTTTCCTTATTTTATTGACATGGAATGGTGGCAGCTTCTCTGCTATCCTGCCACATTTTAGATGAAGAACTTGATACAAAGTTTCAACTATGTCAGAGAACTTGTCCGAGAACCAAAAAGAATGGTTTCAAATATGCCTTTTTGGGTCAATTATTTTGATGCATGTCATTTTCGGCTGAAGTTGCTATTTGTTTGTAGAACTTTAGGGTGGTTTGGTCTGCTTTAATTGCTTTGAAAGGTTGTTACGCACTCAACCAAATCTTTTGCGATACAGAAGATTTGTGTCAATTCCCTCCAAAGACTGTGCAATTGAAGAAGCCATTTGCTATTCAACCCTGGATTGATGCAGAGGCGAATGTTGGGAACCTCCTCATGGTATGCTATAGCATCCTGAAGAAATTAGAACTGAAATTCTGTGCATGTAGCTATTTTCTAAATATTTACTTGTGGGTGTATGTTAATGATGATATTTTTATGCCTAAGCTTCAAAATGTTCTTTCTACCACTATTGATATAATTCATGCACAAAAGTTTACCATCTGTGGGGAC